TGAGAGTTAAATGATTTAATCAGAAACATATATGCGGAAGGTCGCTTAACCACTGACCATTTAGTTAGATTAGCAAAAGTGTCTATGTTTTGTTATCTTGAAAAAGGGTATGTCTTTGTCTACATTTTTATTCAAGATTTTTTAAAACAGTTTCAAATACGCCTTGGTGGTGCCCTGGCTGATAAATATACTCAGGTGACATGGTCACATGGCAATCCCTTGTCTGTCAAATCAGAAGCTTTAAATGATTAAATCGATAGTTCACTGATGATTTCAATATTGCTTGTGATAAACAAGCTTTGTATTGAACGAAAACTGCAGTCATGTTTAAATATAATCCTTAAACGGAATTAAATCCTCAAAAGTTATGACCGACTGTATTTATTTATGTTTAAACACATGGAATTAATTTTAGATGTCGCCATAACACCGTCGTAAGAGATGCAAGATTCCTTGGTATTGTTTTCGATCAACATTTGACATTTATGTTCGATATTAAGTCCTTCAAGAATAAATACCTGACGGCACTTGAGAAATTAAATTTCAAATTTCAAAGTTGGGAGGAGATCATAAAATTGTTTTGCCAACTATATAGATCACTGATCGGTTGGTAATCTCACTACGTCTCTCTTATTTATAAAAGGGCCTAAAAGCCAACAGTTACTTAATATTATTAAATTCTATTCGACACAAGGCTGTTACTTTGATTCCAACTATTCCTAGTTTGTATGTGTCTCTGAAACAAGACGGTTTTAAATTATCTTACAATATATTTCTGAATGATGTTTTATGCCTATGCCTGTGTTTTTCATCCTCTTTAGAACTACCCCCCCCCCTTTCCAAACAAAATATTAAAAAAAAAAAAGAAAAAAAAAAGAAAAGAAAAAAAATCATCACTTTATCCAGAGTACAATGATATACCTCTGATGCTAGAATACATTTTGACAATATAGCCCTATCTCTGCGTCAGCTTGTCTACCAATGTAAAGCCAGGTGGACTTAACATTAACTTAACCGGAGAAGTCAGAAACCAATCAAATAAGTTATCCACATGAAGGTTTTACATTACATACAGATCCATATTCATGGATGGCACCAATGACGATGACGCTGTTGCCACTGTCATTGAACCCAGTGCTAGATCATCAAGATCGACTAAAGTAAGTTCGATTCAAGGACAATATATAACAGCAAGAGAGTATATAATCAAACAATCCAACAATTTACAATTTGTTGTGCTTTCAGACTCTCTTACTTTTCTTCAGTCAGTTCACAGAACCTTACAAAAAGCCACATTTAGTCGAACCTATCGAATGTTATAATGATTGTGTACTGCCCAACCCGACACCGTCGTTGCCATGTCGGAACCTTTGGGAACACAACGGCTGTTGCTGCTGGAGAAGTAGCTCTCAACAAATCTGTGATACCACTTCTGATCCCATACAGCCATTATAAATCTGTCATTCGTTCCTTTATTCGAGCTCCACTGCAAACGAAGTGGTGCAGTCATTTCATGACACTAAACCAACTATCTGTTCACCTCAGTTAAAGCGTCATTTTACGACGATGTCTTTTGGCCAATTTTTTGGCCGTTCGAAATATGTACGAATCTTCATTGGTGAGGAGCGTTTATTTAAATGAAACATATACATGTATTTGAAATTACAATCCTTAAACATCTATATATAAATGTTAAAAATCATTGCATTATATTTCTGTAAAAGAAAAAGAAATTATTTCCTAGATATTAAATAAGTTTCTTGCATACAGCAAATTACCTTTGACAATTGGTAGACTAGATTATCAACTTTGGTTTTGGGTGGATGTATCCTTGACTAAGGTTAAAGTTAAGTAGTGTGTAGAACTATTTTACCCACGAGAGTCGATGTAAAAGCACATACTTCAAATTGAGGTTTTCTTATAACAACTGTTATTCTAAGCAACGGAGACAACAATGTTTTTCGCAAACCTTTCGCGCCATGTTACATGCGAGGGAGCAATAATTCCTTCACTGTTGGAAACATTAACTTACAGATCCTAGATAAAATCCATAGACAGCTGACGATATTTATTGAAAGGAGGACACATACTTTCGGGACACTGCTTTGTATGCATTGTTGTGTGAGTATTTTCTTCGAAGATCCCATATGAACCCATCTTCAGCAACCCACGCTTGTTGGGATCGGGTGGTCGGGCTAGGTGACTCGGTACATGATGTTCATGATGTTAATCACAGTTTTGTCGGGTCTGGATTCGAATATTTACAAACCACCACCACACTGCATGAATACTGCTTAGGGGCAGCGTTGAACATATCTGTAAGATCAGGCATACATGTAAAGGTCTTGGAAAGCAGGTGGCAGGTGTTAGGATGTGTGTTGGGCTTATTTGAAGACATTGGTGAAGAGTAAGATGGGCGTCACCAAGAACAAATATATATAATATTAAAAGCTGCACGTGTATTACGCTCATGATATATTACATCCACGATCGATGTAGTCTATTTCTTCACAAGCTAACATTGCACGTGTTTGCCATCGAGTCCACGCATAGTCTGATCCCATGATCACGGTGGCGCATTAACACACAACACGATGTTGTGAGTTATCAGGCTGACTCCCAAAACACGATACAGCCATGTCTGTGGATTAACAATAATACAAAAGACCATTTTCAAGACCTAGCAGCGATTCACAGACACTGGTGAATTAGTGAATTAGAACTAACCAACCTTAACAAATCGTGTTGACAGTAGAACCAGCATGATTATTTTATTAGCAACGTGTTCAGGTCGTGTTTGGGGTTTAAAACATATTCCTGAACAGAAGAGCTGAACACTTATGTATGTGTTTACACCATGAACACATGTTTATGTAGGATGTTAAAATATGGTACTAGTTGGTCCCTGTCTGGCGCTCGGCATTAATGGGTACAACAAGGACTGGTCGGCTCGGAGTCAGTATAATGTGTCTGAGTGGGGTATTCATTCTTCACTGCGGCATGGTATCTCAGTGGGCTAGCACTATAAAACCAGCTTCAGTCTGGGCTAGTACAAGTACACGACGTTAAACCCAATTTCACTTCACCTCACCTCTCTCATTTGTGTACGATAATGGCGCGATGGGCACACCTCAACATATGCTGACATTTCCTCAACAAACAAGGTTGTCTTCAGAAAGCCATTCTTGTCGTAAGACGGGATTAATGGGATCGGGTGGTCAGACTTGGTTGATGCATATCGTCGAATCACCAGATGCTGCGATCGATGTTTATGATGTCGCTCACTTAATTGTCTGGTCCAGACGCGGTTATTTACATACCACTTTGATATAGCTGTGTGTGACGTTAAACAGCAGCAGCAACAGCAACATCATCAACATCAACCAACCTCTTCATTTCTTTTGCTTTATTGAATGAACATCTCTTACGTTAGACAAAACCCTTGCCAGAGTTCCTCACGAACATGTTGTCTAAGACAATATGAGACTTGTGACGGCTCGTCAGGTTGATGATGTCCAGGTTGTAAATTCTTACAACCGTTCGTTATGAAATTGTCTATTTTATATTATAAATCAGATAAACGTGTAGCTGTACCGCGTGGCTACCCTATGCCCACTTTGTAATCAGTGTGTTGGGTGTTTTTCGAATCAGAACGGACTGTCCTTATACTGTACCCAAATAGCAAATGACAATTTCAAAACATGTATTGCATCCCATTTTTATACACACTGTCGTCATATTAGTGTTATCATTTTAATGACGGGCACAAGGAAGTGTTCACTCGAAAATACCTGTCTCACTCAGCTTATTACTTTGTAATGAGAAATTGCAAACCCAGTGTTTCTTGAGGCAGTCGGTGCACATTTCCTTTGGACTGATTCATATAAAGAATGTACGATCGCTTGTAATACCCGGATCAAATACTGTCAAATATCGTTGTGTCGAACGTAAAGGGACCTACGTATATATTTCGAGTTATCCGATGTTCGGCACAACAGGGAACGATACATTCAAATTTAGACATAACAGTGTTTGACTGTACATCAGCATAATCATTTTTTTGTTTGTTTAATTTTAGTCACCATCAAACTTGGATGTATATTTTCTTTTTCACTGAAGTATTCCGAAATGTTGAATGTAGCCGGATCCAAACAAACACCGAGACTAAGAAACAATTTATGTACACGGGCCGTATGTAAGTCGCCATATAGATGACCAGATGTAGTGAGGAAACGAAATTATGTTTGAGTTGCAATTGAGATCAACTTTGCGAACTGTAGGAACCATGTGGGATATTAAGATAGGTGTTTACGGCAATCAGCCAGCTTTTACCAAGATTCACACTAATCAATTTAGCACGTCGACTTCCTTGGCACATCGAGATCAAGACCTCCCGCAGCCTTGCCATGATAAATGGATTGATTCAATTATATTGGGAACAAAGGCGGCATCTCTCATGGCAGGGGAAAGACGTTCGATGTGGACATGGGTATCAATTAGCTAAAAGCTGAAAAATGAAACACTTTTGGGTCAACAGTGATCTTGCTGGCCGACCCCCCACGACGATGTATGACTTAGAGGGAACTAGAGGTTACATGATTGTTCAGAATTGTACGGGACGAAGGGGGAGGGGGTATGAATCTTTTCGAGGTTCCAGACACGGTTGTTGTTATCAGCCAGTAAGAGAGCTCTTAATTCTGACTCTATTTCTAGATTTGTGGTTTCTGTTTCAACATGAGTTAGGGTAGAGTGTCTAACAGTGTTTGGGGCTTGGATCGATTGTTGGCACTGTTTCAGCCATCACATGTCTGTCTATATTTTCTGGCACAAAGTAGGGATAAGAAAATCTGACAGTTTACGCGAAATGACCTCCCGGCTGTACATCTGGTAACTGGTAAAAGTGCAGAAACACTTATCAACCTGCTAGCCGTAAACTATCATTGTCTCATTCCCTTCCTGGTCAAAGTCAGATATTTCCCGATATCTGTATTTTTTTGTAACTATATCTGTTGATGTCTGTGTGTCTCTTCCCCTGTACCGATCTCTCTGTCTGTCGCGGACACGGTCCACATCCCTGCCTCCTGCTTGTGTCTCCCTTTTTTCACTGTCCCCATCCCTGTCTCTGTATCTGTCCTCATCTCTGCCTCTTTCATCATCTCTGCGTCTGTCCTCATCTCCGTCTCTGTCCTCATCTCTGCCCTCGTCTCTGCGTCTGTCCTCATCTCTGCCTCTGTACTCATCTCTGCCTCTGTACTCATCTCTGCCCTCAACTCTGCCTTTGTCCTCATCTCTGCCTCTGTACTCATCTCTGCGTCTGTCCTCATCTCTGCCTTTGTCCTCATCTCTGCCTCTGTACTCATCTCTGCGTCTGTCCTCATCTCTGCCTTTGTCCTTATCTCTGCCTCTGTACTCATCTCTGCGTCTGTCCTCATCTCTGCCTCTGTACTCATCTCCGTCTCTGTACTCATCCCTACCTCTGTCCTTATCCCTGCATCTGTCTTCATCCCTACCTCTGTCCTCATCTCTCCCCTCATCACTTCTCTGTCCTTATCCCTGAATCTGTCCTTATCTGTTCCCTCATCACTTCTCTGTCCTTATCCCTGCCTCTGTCCTCATCTCTCTCTCTTTCCTCATCTCTGCCTCTGTCCTCAATCTGCCCTTATACCTATATCCTCATCTCATTCTCTATCTGTGTCACCACCTTTGAATCTTTCTCTACTTTCTTTGTTTCTGTGTCATACCCAATTTCTATCATGTTGCCCTACTCTTTTTGTACACTATGGAATAAAGAAACGTGTCAGTTATTTTCCATTGAAAATCACTTCCACTACTTCAGTAACCTGTTAGAATCCGAACCAGGGAAATAACTACCAGAGTTAACATTTCAGGCCCGTAGACGGACTTAATTCGAAAAATAAATAACTTTATTTATTTGTCAAAGTAATGTTGCTCTTCTCAGCTATCATATCACTCACAAACAATTAATATTTTCATTCCAAACAAACTTCCGTAAACACATAAATGATATTAACAAAGCATAATATTGAACTTAATTATGATGATACCAAAGAAACTCTCACTAAACAATACATTTATGGCGCAACGAAATTTCACTAATTGCTGATTCCTGCCATGGATCTAACCAGTAATCTCCACCCTTGACATTCAGTCCGAGATTAACTACGCCTCGTTATTCCGGAATTACCCACCTGTCCTTACACCAGAGTCCCAGGTCTTCCAGCTGTGTCATTATATAATTGTGCAATTCACAATCAATACACAGGGTCGATTCCCAAGCTTTGTAAAGACAGAACAACCATAACATGTCCGACAGATTCAGACATGTAGCAACTATGATACAGGAGAATTCATCTTCGTGTACATCGTAATGATGTGCCACTCTCCAGCTCTAATACGTCTGAAACCTATTGGATACTGGGCTCTCACCAGACAGTGATGTATGTCCCCGAATGCATGTAATTTCTACAGTTGAAAATATCTTGCTTATTCCCCCGGATATGTCTACAGATTGGTACGCCAGGCCAGATTGGGCGTCGGTCGTGGTCTGCTCTATTTTTGTCAATATGTGTGGATGACATGATCACGATGTCGTCTATGATTTGAGAGGTGATGTGGAAAGGTTGCCTGGTCGTTTCGAAGGTTGCGTGAGATGGTAATGGCCATGTACTCCCCGTGTCCTCCATGGGAGGTTGGGTCAGGTAGTCTAAGAAATCATCCGAGATTTCTACCGAATTTGTTTTGCACTTCTGCGCCCCATAGTCGACTCCATGATTGAGGGCGCAACTCCCGTATCCACCCTGATTGTGTTCTTTGATTTTGATTTGACACACAATTCACAAATATGATGTGCTCTGTGCGCTTACAGACAGTTTAACACTGGAACTTGTAGTCCTGATCAAACAAGTATGTCTTTAGCTGTGATTTATAAGAAGACTGACTGACTGACTGAGTTTGGCTTTACGCCGCTTTTAGCAATATTCCTGAAACATCACGGCGGGGGACACCAGAAATAGGCTTCACACATTGTACCCATGTGGGGATTCGAACCCGGGTCTTCGGCGTGACGAGCCAACGCTTTAACCACTAGGCTACCCCACCGCCCCTTTATAAGAAGAGACAGTGGTAGCAGTTTTTTTGCAAAAGTAGAAGATTTGAATCTGTAAACAGAAGAGATGTTGATCTTGTTAGCGGACGGTTCTGTGAGGACAGTAGACTCGTAGATATTTTCTGTGGTATGATTGTGCAAGATGGTTATATCATTTGTAAGCCATGAGGAGGATCTTGTAATCCACACGCGAAGCTACTGAAAGCCAATTAAGTCCTTGTCCTTTTATAAACAAAACTGTTCACGGTCCAGTGACCGTCGAGCTTTTCCACAACACGAAAAAGCGGATGTCCTGCCGTTTGGAATAGTATTGCTATTTGTGTCTGTACTATTTTAAATCATGTTGTTATTACATGTAAGCGTAGTACGGGAATGCTTGGAAAAGTTGTGAAAAAAAGAAACACTTGTGATTCGTCAGAGTCCATACCTGTCAAATATCCAGACAGGAGTGTCATATAAATTTGCATGGCAGGTGTAGCAACAGTAAACCGAATTTATGACATAAAACATGTGGGCATACCATTTGGAATAATTTGAAAAGTTTAGTAGACCTTGTTCCTAACATGATAAATAAACATAATCCTTAAAGTCCTTTTAAGACCAAATACATGCATCAACGCTGAATCAAACCATGGGGATGTATTGGAAATATAACTGCACAACTAATTTTATCTTTGCATTTATTCAATATCACTGCATAGCTTGCAAACACAGCTCTTTAACTTGGACAAAAAGTTGCTCTGAACATCAGTGAAGGATATTATTCAACTGTCAGTCGCCACGGGGAAGATTTCATCTAGCATTTGTAGCTTTATCGCAGAAGAATATCCGATGAAGAACTATATTAGAAACATTTGCTTTGAATGCAAAACATAAGTGCATACTTTTATAGAAACCTCAAATATTCCTCGATTGATAATCGTTAGATCTCTGTATGAACAGTTTGTAAAATTATCCAGGCCACCATTTTAGCATTATCTAATGACATATACAAGACGTATACATTTCAAGTTACACAACCTACAATGCTCGTCAACATATTTCATGACTGTTTGTTGTGTATACCTTGCTTCTCTGCTTATTAAAAAGTTTTCCATACGCATCATCTTACTTTGCTCGAGGTCATGCAACAAGCCAACTCTTGTCATATTTGGTTACAACATAGATTTGTGTTTAGCCTCTGGATATGGATACTTGTGTTTGACTAGAGATAATTCCCAATGCTTGATTTTCACGATGTACAAAAAGCATGTTGTCAATAACTACTGGTCTTCTGCATAAACTGTATCTTGTAAAAAAACATAAAACCATCAAGTTACTTGTTACAAGTTACATGTACATGTAATCACTATCAGCTACTTGTATTCAATACACGCACTGACTTTGGTATACCTGACAAATGTTTTCATATGTATACTCTCCCCAAAAAGAAACGCATATACAAATTTCAACTGTATTTTTATGTTTATTTTGAAACATCTTGTAGGCGTTATGAATCAATGAAATATAGCGAAATTGCACACTGGGAATGCAGACTTAGCCGTCTTTGGCACCAAGTCGAGGAAAGTCAGTTTGAGTGTCACATGGAGACGTGTGGCGGCGCTTAAGTCAATACCACGTGTGACCACCGTGGGCATCCAGAACTGCACGGCATCGCCTAGGCATCGAACGAATAAGTCTCAGAATCTTGTGTTGCCAAATCGCAGCCCACTCTGCCTGTAGTGCCTGTGCGAGTTGCTGAAGTGTCTGGGGCTGAGGGTTATGGCGTCGCACCCGTCTGTCCAGGGCATCCCACAGATGTTCGATCGGGTTTAAGTCCGGTGATCTTGAGGGCCCAGGGGAGCACATTGATGTTGTGGTTCTGGAGGAAGTCTCTAGTGTGACGTGCTGTGTGGGGCCTGGCATTGTCCTGTTGAAACAACTCCCTCTGATGATCAATGATTGGAAGGAGGTGTGGGCGTAGGATTTCGTCACAGTACCGTCGAGCTGTCCGGTTGCCCTGGATCATCCCCAAATCACTTCTCCTACGGCAGGTGATCACTCCCCACATCATAACACGGCCCCAGCCGAATCTGTCCACCTGAGGAACGCAAGCGTCGGCGAAACGTTCACGTCGACGTCAGTACACCCGCATTCTTCCATCGCGTCGTTCCAATAGAAATCCTGATTCATCACTGAACCAGATTCTACGCCGATTAGGTAGGTTCCAGGCCTGAACGTTGGTGCACCATTGAACTCGATGTCGACGATGTTGTTGTCGAAGCACAGGGCCAAAATAAGGTCTTCTGGCACGTAAACCAGCCTCTCTCAACCTGTTCCTGACGGTCTGTGCAGAAAGCCTCCTCAATCCGGGTATTTGTCGAGCGATACTGGTTGCCGTAGCTGTTCGATGACGCAGGTGATGTACCCGGATGTAGCGATCCTGCGCCGCAGTGGTTGCTCGAGGTCGCCCACTACGAGGGGCATCTGCTACCGCATTCTGCCGGCGATATCTCTCCCAGAGCCGTGAAATGGTGCTTTGGTGAACATTCATGCGTCGGGCAACTGCACGTTGAGACTGGCCAGCTTCAAGCAAACCAATCGCGATATGACGTTTGGCTTCACTTAGACGTGGCATTTTGCATTCGTCAACAATATTCCAAATACAGTGAATAATCGACAGACTGCGACAAACCATTTATACCCATCATTGAGACTATCTGATCCCCAACTTTTACGTGCATTGCATGTGAATTGTGTATTCTGTGACACTACACGCCGAAATTGAAAATGATGCTGTTAAATACGGGTATTTTACGGATGGTGCGTTTTGTTGTGATGTTTCAAAACATAAACACCATAGGAGACATAAACAGAGCAAAACATTTTGTAAAATGAATCACGTTTTAATTCATTGCTACATGAAATTGCTATTTTCATGATGCGTTTCTTTTTTGGGAGAGTATACATGACATAACCGTCCTTGTTAGACATGCCCTGACATAGAACGGCTGAAAGAAAACCTATACACAAGGCTACAAGATGTCAGCATGTATAAATGTGTTCAATTACGTCAACAAACTCATTGTTTCTAGCGTACTTTAAAAGAAATGTCTGGTATTATTTTCAGTTTAGAGACTCAAGTAAGGCCTTCATTCTGGTTCTTATCAAATAATCCTTGGTAACCAGGCACATGTGAATTACATTGCCTTACATTGGCTTACATGTAAAGAATAAACGTTCGCTGACAGTTTGCTATTACCTGACAATCGGAACAGAATCTAGATTCTGAACAGATTTGCATATTTTTCCTGTAACTAATAATTATGAGGTTGTGTTTTGCGACTAGGATCGACTGTTGTCGCGCAGTGTTTGCTTCTATGCTAGTCAATAATGTTCAGGTGATGTTATGACGTGGCATAAAGTACG